AAAAACGCACTTTGCTCTGACTGAAGCCTCCTAGTTCAGTTCCTTGTAAATATGCAAAGAGGATGCTCAGCTGAAATACTCCCTGAAATATTAATTTCTTTATCTGGGAGATGTGATGAAACGGATTTTTTTTTTATTTTTTTCTGCCCATCAGAATTCAGAGTAGGGGTTTCAGAGAGCTACCTAAGGAGAAGGTAATACACTCTGTATTAAACTTGTTAATTCTCTTCTTTGCATCCTTACAGCTAACTCCCAAAGCACCGACTATCCAGAAGTATTCCTGCAATCCTGGAGATACTCTTGAGGAAACCATACTGGGCAAAAGAGCCGAATCTGATTCACAGGGCAACTCCTCCCTTGGAGAAGTAGAGCAGAAACCACTAATATTAACATGAAATGCTGGAATAGTTATGCTAAAGACGAGGTCACTCAGAATAGGGACATTGCCAGAAACTGAGGACTAAGGCATCCTATCAGGTATAAAACCCTAACAAGTACATGAACAAAGGAGGGTAAACAGCACAGTACAAATTCCAGTTAGCTGCCCTGGATTCATTTTTTGGTGGTGGAGGTTGGGGACTAGTCACCTATGTGCAACACCTGTTTAACAGGTAAAAGTTGGCCTGTTTGCTCATTTAATTTTAAATAATTCTGTTAAAGTAGTTACAATTGCATCTATTATCTGCCCACCATTAAAAACTGAAATTAACAGAGATATTATCTGATTTAATTTTCTGATACAGATAATTTAATTATCTGATACAAACACTTCAATACTACATAAATATTCTTGCCTTTCTCTCTAAAGGCGAGAGTTGATAATCTTCACAATGATTATAGCTGTGCAAATCAAGTCTGTTCCTGCTTTTAACAGCACTAATTCAACCTGCCACTGCTTCCAACAGAATTATGTGAGACCTAAGTAAATGAACCCACTTATAATTTGTTTGCAGGTACACCAGTGTTGTGGTGCATTTCATAACCAGGTCACTGTGCCCAGGAATCCTGCTAAGGATCAGGGGTAAATAGTGTCCTAACAACGGTCAGAAAGAACTTGCTTATTTCAAGATTTTCTGAAAGTGATTTCTGAAGTGATTTTTACCATCTTTATATGAGCATTTCTAAATTCCCCTCACTCTCAAATAATTCAAAACAACTCACAAAGCATTGATTAACTTCATGCCTGCAGAAAACCTGCCTGCTGCAGCTGGACACCTCAGTTCTACAGATAAAGTAAAGCAGGGAAGGTTGGCATTCAAGTTTTCTTTTTTCTCCACTGCCTTTGTTTTTCATTTTTTCTTCTTGAACCTCTGCTTAGCCCTAGTGAGGCCACATCTGGAGTGCTGTGTCCAGTTCTGGGCTCCTCAGGACAAGAGAGACACGGGAGCTCCTGAAGCAGGTCCCACAGAGGGAGACAAAGATGATTAAGGGGCTGGAGCATCTCTTACATGTCAAGGCTGAGGGAGCAACTGAGAGGGGACCTCATTGATGTCTGGAACTGGAAGCTCATTAAGCAGATCATCTTGAGTGCCATCATGTGTCACATACTGGACAACCAGGGGTTCAGGACCAGCCAATAGGGATTTAGGAAAAGTAGGTCCTGCTTGAGCAACCTGAGCTCCTTGTATGACAAGGTGACCCACTTAGTGGACGAGGGAAAGGCCGTGAATATTGTCTACTAGACCTTTAGTAAAGCCTTTGATACTGTTTCCCCAGAGCATATCCTGGAGAAACTGGCTTCCCATGACTTGGATGGGCATACTCTTTGCTGAGTAAAAGCCTGGCTGGATGGGTGGGCTCAGAGTGATGGAGTTGGCAGCCAGTCACCAGTGGGGTTCCCCAGGACTCAGTATTGGGGCTTATCCTGTTCAGTATCTTTATCAATTATCTGGACAAAGGGATCAAGTGCACCCTCAGTGAGTTTTCAGGCAACAGCAAGATGGGTTGGAGTGTCGATATGCTGGAAGGAAAGAAGGAAGGCCCTGCATGAGGGATCTGGACAGGCTGGATTCATGGGCCAAGTCCAATTGCATGAGATTCAGAAAGGCCAAGTGTGCCAGATCCTGCCCTTGGGTCACAGCAACCCCAGGCAGTGCCACAGGCTGGGGGAAGGGCAGCTGGAAAGTGGTCCAGTGGAAAAGGATCTGGGAGTTTTGGCCAGCAGCCATCTGAACATGAGCCAGCACGTGCCCAGGTGGCCAAGAAGGCCAATGACATCCTGGCCTGTATCTGAAACAGTGCAGCCAGCAAGACGAGGGCAGTGATTGTCACTCTGTACTTGGCACTGGTGAAGCCACACCTCGAATCCTGTGTTCAGTTTTGGGCACCTCACTACAAGAAAGACATTGAGGTGCTGGACATATCCAGAGAAGGGCAATGAGGCCGGTGAAGGGTCTGGAACACAGATCAGATGAGCAGCAGCTGAGGGAGCTGGGGCTGTTTAGCCTGGAGAAAAGCAGGCTAAAGTGGGACCTTATGAAAGGGGGTTGTAACAAGGTGGAGGTTGGCCTCTTCTCCCAAGTAACACGAGGTAGGACAAGAGGAAATTGCCTCAAGTTGTGTCAGGGGAGATTTAGATTGGATATAAGAAAAAATTTCTTCACTGAAAGGACGGTCAAGCACTGGAACAGATTGCCCAGAGAAGTGGCTTAGTCGCTATGCCAGGAGGTATTTAAAAGATGTGCACACATGGCACTTTGGGACATAGTTCAGTGGCAGACTTGACAGTGCTGCATTAATGGCTGGATGATGATCTTAGAGGTCTTTTCCAACCTAACCTGTTCTGTGATACTATTATTCTAATATTATTATTCTATTATTATTATTATTATAACAATGAGAGGAGGATAAGTACCTTGGACCAAAACTTCAGAAGCATAGATGACATTTTGGATGAACCAGCATTATACCTGCTATTACTTCCCCCCGGAGTCTACTGTTATCCAGAATTCTTTTCATTTATTACTATCTTCTTCTTGTTTAAAACAGACTATGTGATTTTAACCAGTTTTACTGACACTGACTATTAAACCACATCTGTCCAAATGGACATACCCATGATGTTTTGTCATTTTACTGGGAAGACTTCAAATAACAGACATAATTTACTAAAATTCATATTTTTAGGATTTATCCTTCATTTTGTAGTGTTATTCATTCAAATCTGTGACTGGCTACACCAGGTTTAATTAAATCTTGGTTTGATTAAGATGTGTTCTATCTTTACTGCAGCTGATTCTGTTAACTTTCTGTTCTCCACCCATTTTCTTGTATCTTCATTATCAAAGGCCAAGAAAAGAGAACTTATTAAAAAATATAAATTAATGTCTATTCTTATGCATTTCACATTTATGTAAATGCAATTTCTCTGCTATTATGATGTTAAAGGATTAGTATGGCTTTTAAATGAATATATTTTTTAGTTTAATGTATCAAAAATAAAACCAGGTGGCTTAATTCTCACAATAAATCTTACACTTCTAATAGAGTTTTAAAACTCTGTTAAAGAACTAAAAACCTGAAACCTAAATGGGATGTGCTAACCTACAGTTCCATGCTGTTGCTCTTACATTTTAAATATATTTTATATGTTAAGAATATTTCCAATTTCCCATTTAAAAGAATCAGAGATGGCATTTAACACCACTGAAATAACGTAATTTCAGGTGCAATTTAAGCAAGCAGAATAGAACAAAGCAAATAACTGGAGCCTGAGCATGCCTTTTTATAAAATCATTAATTTAAACCTTAAGGGTAAAAAAAGCTCATTTATTCATCAAGAAGTTAATCCAGTTCGTTCCCTAACTAGGAAAATTTTTTTTTTGTTTTTTTTTTATTGTATGTCTATGCTATTCATTAACGAAACAAAAAATTTTACCCAGGGCTTCAGATCTATTATGTAAGTAAACATTACACTTTGATGCAAAAATTTACATTGTTCGTAGCATCATTTGAATTTCACATTCATATTACCAGTGAGGATTGCCACGTTCACTACTGTTTTCTTTGACTTTTTGAAACTATTTTATCCTTTACATCAAAATCTCAAATGCAAACAGCACATATTGCAAGAACAGTATTTTTTTCTAAGTAAATTAAGCTCATCACGGTTCTGCACAGTCACAACCATGGATGATGAAAAGCTTTTTTCCATTAGAAGTACTCTCTCTCTCATATGACTGCTATTCTAAGCAGGTAAGATATCCTCTCACAAAATAATATTAAATATTGAATTAAAGAAAGATTCTTCAAGGTGAAGGAAAAAAAGCATTGCAAGAGGAAAACATAATACAAAATACCAAAACAACAGCAAAAAAAAAGAAAAAAAATCCTGAAATTCTGTCATTAGTACTGCAAAAGCACTGCACTACACAACTTGTAAACCAACCTGTAAATTGGTACTAGCAGACTGATAAGCATATTATTTTATCCACACTAGAGAATGACTACACTTAATGATTCAAAATAAAAAGAGCTTATTTACATATATACATATATAATATTTGTATTACACAGTGAGGCTTCCAAAGTAATATCTGCTTGTTATGACAGTATGTCTAGGCAGAGAAACAAGGTAGCACTGAAATGAACTGAATTCCTATTTCATGAAAAGGCACTGGTTTATAATTATGTATGCATCTTCTTTCCAAACTACCATTTTTTCCTAATCCAGGTTATTTGCTCAGTTTCTAGACATACATAAAAAAATGAAAACCAGATTTCTCTCCAATTACACGGGTACACTAAAAGCAATTTCTCATAGCACAACTTCTATTAAAAACTATTTCATTAAATTTTTCCAGCTCTATTCTTTTTGCAGTTGTAACATTTAACACACCTTTTTCATGCAAATGCAGTATCACATATGAACATTTCAGAAAGAAAAACTTAAGAAACTGTAACAGTGAAGGCAAGACATTTAAAAAGTGAAAATAAATCAGTCCTCATTAGCTTTGATTACTTCAAACACTTGCCTACGCTTTATAATTTTTGTAAATTACCTTACTCTTTGAGGCAATTTTCAGTCAATCCAGCCATAGAATAACAGTGTATCAAGGCAGCTTGTCAGTTAGACCCTTCTCCTTCACACATCTTGAAATATTGATCCTTCGAAGAAAACACAAAGGACTGTTCACTCTACTTTCATGCAACACCTGCAGGTGATACAGCCATATTAGCATAACACTGCTTTGGATTTCAGCTCATAAAGAATGAAAAATTGCTATAAATCAACATTAAAGACCAAAATTATTTTCTCAGACATGCTAATTTGAATTGAGAGAGATGTTGTCCCAGGATTTTTAATTTTACATTATATTGCCTTACTGCTTATACACCAGAGAAACTGTAATATAACTAAAACCAGAAAGCACTCTTTAATCTTTAACATATAATTAAATTTTGGTGGTTTTTCAATTTATCCAGAGATATAGTACCACTTAAAACTGTGCTTTGTTGTATTCATTTTAATCAAATGTTATTTTAATTGGGTCTGTAAGGACATGTAGAAACTACTGCACCATAGGGAAGAAAGTAATTTTTGATCTTCTGCTCTTACATCTCTGAAAACAGCCTGGTTTGCAGTCTCACCTTTAACTTCCCTTCAGGCATTATTCCCTAGGGTTCTACAGCTTCAATTCCCAATTCAGATTTGCTCAAAAGAATAATGTATCTCAAAGCAGTACTTCTGGAAATCAAGACATATTGAAATGGGGCTGTCTTACCAAATTTTCCATATGGTCCATGGGAAGAAGTTGAAACCTAAGGTAGGGCTCCTGGGAAATGCTTCAGATACCAAAAAGACATAGCACAACAAAAAGGCAACTCTACCCACCAGCTAGGCTCCTGATGTTTATGAAGGTGCCACCATGTGAGCACACTACAGAACTGGGGAGCCCCCTTCCAAAAAGGAGCAATAAATCAAAAGAAGAACTTCCTCAGACAAATAGTTGTGAATATACTGCATCCCTCCCTCCCCCACCCTGATTTCTCCTAAGTACCATTCCTTTAGAAGACAGAAAGGGGGTGCCTTTCTTTCCTTCACAAAACCTGTAAGCTAGCCAGCACCACCAGACTGACAGACAAGCTATTCTCCATACGGCTGAGTGCAGTCATCTACGAAGAGAAAGGGTGATGGGAAATAAAGCCCATCACAGGAATAAAACCTTAATCAGACATTAAATAAGAACAATCTACCTCATACTGAAGAAGAGAGATTGAGACTGGCTTTTCTTACTGTCAGAATAATAAAATATGAAATCAATAGTACACTTGCACAGAAGTTACAACAGCTAAAACTGGCTGACAAATCCAGGCAGCAAAATAAAGGCAGCCCCTATCCTAGTCCTCCTTCTTTCCTTACAGGAACTTGACTCAAGCTGTTTCACTGCAATGATTTGGTAAGTAGTTCACCAGTTTCTAGCCTAAACAACAAGTTAAACTCATAACTATATTCACAATTCAGTCAGGTTCAAATTTTCCAGGCAACATTTAACTTGAAATTAAAAGCTTCACTTCCTGTCGGAGTCAAATTTAAAGGTATCAAATCAACTTTCATCCCTAAATGTATGAAAACAAGGTTTCTCATTCAAGACATTTAAAAAGTTCTAAGGATAGGGGTGTGGGGGATTGTTGAGGTTTTCTACGTTTGTGGGTTTGGTTGGGGTTTTCCTTGTTTTGTTGGGATTTTGTAGTGCATTGGATCAAATTTATGAAAGGGGTTATATCATGTTGCCTGTGCAGCAGTCACTAGACAGCAATGAGCAAAGAAACCAAAAGCATCAACATATTTAGGGGTTTTCAGCAGGATATATGAATACTTTTCCTATAAACCTGAATAGCAGGAAAAGGAAAAAAATCTGTGTCTCCTTTAGGATTCATATCTTAAAGTGTTTTGGTTTTCTCACATTTGAAATGCAAGTGGAAGACAACGGCAACCAGGCTTTTTATGGTATTCCTTATCATTGTTTTAAAAATGTGTACAAGTTTTCACAGTGCATCACAGGGATCTCTGCATTCATACTCATGTCTCATTTTTAACTTCATAACTCACTCTGTAACAGGAGCTGGTTTTAAAAAGGAGTTGCCTGGAAGCATCATCCATGAAATCGTGGAGAAGGTAAAGATGAAATAAGATCTTTTCTCACTCTTCTTTAATCTTGATAGCGAGTTCCCAGCATAAGGCTGGGTCCAACATATTAAATGGATTTTCACATGTAATACTTGCTGCTGGGTAGTTGCCAGCTAAGATAATAAATTTCTGATTAATTAAACAACGTTCTTTTTTTTCCACAACCGCTTGGCTATTTTCAATGCTGCAAGATGTATTCACATCAGTATATGCTGGGAAAAGTATGATATATCTTTTGTTTAATGTCAAAAACAAGTTTTTCCAGACATAAAATCAAGATTGGCATGACCAAGACTCTCTGACACACAAGCTTTCTCACATATTTAATCAGAGAAAGTTTACCTAAGTCATTACGCTGGTTTGGCAGAGATACTGAATGTCATGGGGAAAACAGAAAGAGGAAGGAAAAACTCAAATATTTAAGATGGACAGATGTGTAAACTATTGCTTAACAAAATGAACCACTTCAATGTATTTGAGTCAAGACACATGCACCAAAAAAAGCCCCCAATAAAATCTGAGTTCAGAAACAAATACAATTAAACCTGGATGAAACTTGACTGCTGGGTCGATAAATGAACTTATCTATACAACTGGTTTTGCTACTATAAAAGCATTAAGGGCCAGGATGAAAACTAGTTTCCTGTTTATTTGCTAGCAATCACTGTCATCTCTTGATCATTGAAATACTTTATTAGAAGGTACTTTTCAGTACTTAAATATTTCCCTAAACAACTGCAGGTATGAAAAAAGGGAAATTCACAGAGACTAGAACAATGACTTTTCTTCTATGGGTTGCTGGGTGGAGTTACAGAATTATGTAGGGAAACTATTTCCACGAATTAAAATAGAACCTTTGTGTGTGTGAGAAGGGGTGCAATCAGGGCCATCCATTCACTGGCTATACTCCCTTCTTTTTGCAAGAACAGACTCTTGCATTCTCTCCAGCATTCCCTTTTACTTAAATGAAAAAGTTGGTACTTTATTTAAGGGCGGATTTTCCCACTAAACTTGCTCTGAGAAGTAGCTGTCAAGAAGATAGGAGAAGCTGAGCTCTTCTGTTCCTCACTGCAAGCTCCTGCCCTCTCCCCTCACATTTAAGAACTGTAGCATCCCCTGTCAGCTACATCAGTTCATTGATCCAAGAGAAAACAAACCTCTGCAAGAAAAAATTAGGTTTTGACATGACAGAGATTTCCTCAAAGGAACTACCTCTTTTGGATGACAATCTGAAATAAAACAAGGTAAAGCAGCATTGAAACTGTATCCCCAGCCTAAGTCTTCATGGATTTGGGTGAGGTGAATGCAATACTCAAGTATTCCCATCATTCTACACTGACTCTGTTCCTCCCTACTGCAGCACTGGAATACTCTGTAAAGCCAAGGGCAATTCCTTCTGAAGTAGAGTCAAACATCTGAAAATAGGTATGGAATATTAATTAAAAAATCAAATAAAGATCCTGATATCCCTGACTTAATACATTTGACTCAATGAACAGTGAATCTGCAACATCCACTGATTTTTCAAATCACTACCAAGTACATGAAAGTTAAAATAAGCTCCTCAAAGACAGCCTCTCAAATAGGCTTTCTTTTCACCTACTTTGCTATGGCAAGAACTCAGAATTGCAGACTTACTGCTTTTCCCAAAGAATTCTGTCAGTCTTCAAATTTTGTTTATGCTTGGCTCTTTCATTCAGACTAATCAGCCATCCAGTATTTTGAACAGATGATTCTTCTGAATGACTTTCATTCAGACATTCTTTTCCATGACCTTCAGCAAGGACACAGTTTTTCCATGTGTCTGTAATTCACAGCCATACTTTCTTTTTAAACTACTTTTCACTATAGCATCCCATTTCCTTCCAGAAATGTAAATTGTAAAACTTCCAGGTTTAAATGCATTCAACTGGTAGATGCCACAAACAATTCTACAGTAATCCTAACATTAAAAATCCTGCACAAAAATTTCAACCTCATAGAAAATTGACTTCAGATGTAACAATCTGGCAAAAAAGAACAGTAACTTGACTGAGTTCTTTATTTATATCACTTCACATGCATAGAATTGTACTATCCTCAGCAGAATTTCTTCTAACACACACATGGAAGAAGAGAACAGAACTGGATCTCCTGCCCTTACATACTTCCTGTGACATATCTATCACAAGAGCAGAGAAGCAGAATAAAGTCCATACTGATTTTTCTCTCACCATGTCTCAGACATGTTTCATAAGATGACAGATGTGTTCACAAATCTCACTGTACCTTTTTATTAAAAAACATTTTATTTTCCCCATCTTTATGATTCAAAGCATGTTCTTGTATTTCTTTCTAATGAGTTGCAGCATTGCTCCTAGTGTAGGCTGTTAGATATATGAATTTTTAATTCTGGAGAAAAGAAATATATTCTGCAAATTCTGTAAGTCAGGTAAAAAGGAATGTCAAGTTTCCCTCACTGGATTTTATATCCACCAGCCTTTTAAATTGCACCTGAATAAATTATTGTATTTGGTTTATCAGGAATAAAATCATTCAAGAAAGTGTAAGCAACTACCATACACCAATGTATGCAGCTTCCTGCAAAGTAATCCTAACTTAGTATCATCCTTCACATATATTTAACAGGATGCATTTTATAAACAGCATAAATTTTGTATCTGAAGGCTTTTATTTCTAAAGATAGGAAAATTATTACTAAGACACTATCGATCATATCTGAGAAGCTGTGGCAGTCCAGTTAAGCTCCCACTGACTGTAAACTAGGAAATATAACCCTCATTTTTAAAAAAGGAAACAAAAGAAAACCCAGGGAACCATAGGCCAGTCAGTTTCACCTCAGTGCTTGGCAAGATCATGGAGAGTAGAATCTCCAGGAAACAGTACTGAGACATGGATGATAAACCAAATACAGGTGACTGTCAGGTGACAGCCAACGTGGTTTCACTAAAAGCCAACTGTCCCTGACAAACAAAAGGATGACAGCATTGATGGATAAGAGAAGAGGAACTGACATAATCTCCG